GTATGGATAGTAATCGCGTTCCTCAGGGACCTCCAAGCCCCTCCTTGTCCCTGCGGCATTCTGTCGCGTATAAATCGGTAGATCACCCTTAAGTTGTTGGTCAGCAGTGAACAAACCTGGAGCATGAGCAATAGTATCGTTACTATAAAGAGAGTGACTCATCGAGATTCATTTTTGTATCAGTCAGTTCGGTATTTCAGTTTATTTAAACATCTTACCTTTGTTTCTCTCTCTCCGATAATACGCCTGATAATAGTTGGCTGGTTCGTGAAGTCCTCTGTCTCTTCTTATGTAAGCATTCTCTCGCGCGTTTTTCGAAAATGACTGAGTGGAAAGAGTCTGCCCATTACGAATTGTATGATATTCAAATTCTTTGTTCACGTCGTTGGTTGCCATCTTGCCCTCTGGATAAGGCTGACACATGTATTGTAGAATAACTTGGGTTTCTACCATGTCATTGGTACCTGGTCCAGTTCCGTGTTGGTTTGTCCACATGATATCAACTTCGGTTTTTACCTTAGCATCGCATCCACTCATGTAATATTCCTGATTGGATTATTTAAAGAAAATATCAAGCATAAGAGAAAGAAATGCAAGAGAGCAAACAAAAAGACAACTGCTAACAAATGATAAACGATTTTTACCTGTGGCAGCTGTCTGAACTCTTGAATGTTGTCTCCAGGGTTACTATCCAAACTGTCGCCGACATTGTAACCAGCCTTACCGTTATTCTTAGGAAGAAGACAAAAGAGTTATTTATGAACTGAATTACTTTCGTCTTTGTGGTTAAACTGCGATTAACAGGGTAATTAAGTATTATCAACGTAGTTGAGAGCGTAAATTGGCCACCGTAAAGAGTTTCAAAGCTGACGTTTCGAGCGATTGACGATTAGTTTCTTTAGCAGCCTTCCCCCTTCAAACTGCGATTAGACTGAGTCCACCTCAATCCAAATGACCACGAGGTGAAAGCGTCTGCGGCAAAATTTCTTAAGAGGGTCATTTTCATTTCCCTCTTTGATCATCAAGGCGTTCCAGTAGCCGGCCACGTCTGCTTTTTCTAACCTTTATAACGCTTCAGGAAAATGTTACAGTCAGCCGATCCTCGATGCTATGCAGGTAGTCTTCAGATTTCTAAACCAGTCATTATCCCGATTCTCTTTCTAGTAACAGCAGCAGAGGCATTATCATTATTTTTTTACATCTTACTATGATAATGATTTTAGTTTGTCTTGTTTTATTAGCTCTCTCTTTACTTTGGGGTAAAATCAAAAGTACCGGTGGGGTGGGGTGGTTGTTTCTTCCCAACCTCTTCCCCCCCCTCCCCATGAAATGCAGTTATATGGCCATAAACATAAAAATGATCGTTTCTCATGGACTCAATTCTTGGAAAGAAGGCAAACGAAAAAAAAAAGAGGAAGGATACGCTCTCTGTAAATTTACGTTCTCAGGTTTATCCCGTTTTAACCAGATGAAGAAGACTTTATTCAAAAAAGAAATCGTTTGGTTAAATCAATTGAACGAGCAAGTCCAGGATTTTCCTCAGTGTTGGTCAATCACTTTCACCAGGGGGACGGCAATGGGTAACAAAATATTTTATGGGAATGGCCTTCGATAAGGTTACCGCAATAAAAATCGAGTTTGTAATGGTAATCTACCTGCGAATCAAACAATCTGTTTGCATTTCTGACGTTATCTTGGTTACCGTTCAAGCGATTGTTGGATCCTGCTGGAGCATGCATGTACATATCCGATATACAAGGCTCGATGAAAAGAGCCATGAGGCAGCCCCAAATAAAGATGGTCTTCATGACCTGCATGAAAGAAAGCCAAGATCAGTTTTTAATGAGAAAATTAAACTCTGTTCTTGTTGTCATAGCAACAGATTTTGACGTTGTCAAGGCATTTTATTTAATGTCGTAGTACGTGCGATACAAGCGTTGAGTGAAAAAAAATTTGGCTTTGCAACTTCAATCAACAGAAATAAAAAGAAAAATATTTATTCAAACGACTCTACGTTAAGGAAAAAAACAAATGACAGAAATCCGAGTACGAGAAGAGTTGTAACCATGTTTGCCCTCTGAAACCTCCCATGAAACTGAAGTTTAGTAACCACGTTTTCCCTCCTGTAGTGTATTGAGGACAAAAGGAAAGTACTTGTACCAATGTAATTAACATCACTGTGGGACCGTGACTGAATGACGTTAAAGGACTTTAAACAAGTAACATGATTGCACCGGCTTATTAGGTGGTTGATCGATGAATAAAGACAGAATACAGAGAGCAGTTGAAGAGTGAGTGTCTTCTCTAAATAAATACACAACAGCCCCCAATGAACCTGAAACAAAGTCACAAGGAATTGGACGAGAATCTTTGTGATTTCTCGTCTCCAATTTTTCCAATCAGTTGGTGAAGAGTCGCCAGGGACTTAGGGAAAATTTCTGAATTTAAAAGCTTAATTTATTTTAAAAACCCCAGCTTAAATTTGATGCTGGTTATGATGACTTGAATAATATTTAAGTCATTGCCGCAATCAAGTCTCTCGTTTAAGTTTACTCGATTAAAAAATCAAAAGCTATCACTCAGAGAGAAACTTGAGCAATTTCAAACGACTCTTCCTATACGCCACGAAGGTGGCAATTCAGTTCTAGCGTTTATCTTGCCAGTTTTTAACGCTGAAAATAGTGTTGCAACTGAGAATTAAAACTTGGTAGCAGTGTCTAAAATGAGCATTCAAGTGTTTTACTTACGGCTCCGAGCTTAGTGTGAGCTAGTTCCCGCTGCTAATACCCGCACCGTGTAAAGTTTCGTAATGTACTGGTATCAACGCCCTGAAAACTAATTTATAACATCTCTTATCAGGACTCTTGACCTTTTTCACATACATTGTATCACGTTTTGAAGAGTTAATGATGTTTGCGCTTGCATATGAAAGAAAATGAATCCCTTTATTCATGTTATTCTGAGAATTATGCAGCTGTGCAAAGTTTCACTATAGAAGAGTTGAATAAAACGTTCTGGACAACAACAAACAGCCATAACACGTTTGTGTAACGTGTGTTTCTTTGCTGACAGTCTTTCAAAGAAATGTTTGTACAATGAACGTGTGAAGTTGTAATAGACATTATTATGAGATGAATGAGAAAAAGATATTATTCTATCAGCAGTTATTTATACTTGAAAGTTCTTTACGTAAAGGCTGCTCTCCTTGTTTGCACAAATCTATTTCATTTGGAATCTCAACAATTCATTGAAACTGTGTATCACGAAAAAGCTCAGTTCTTCTTACCACACATGTATCTTCGTTGAAAGTGTCTGAACAGTATAATTATCATAAACACAGGCGATTGATAGGTTCCTATTCAATTAAGTGAAAGAAAAATAAGTGCAAACTCTCGGACACATTTGGTTGTTTGAAGAATTTACTTGAAAGAACCTCAAACACTGAAAGGTTCTAGTTTCTAGCGAAACTTCAGTGTATTCAAAAGCAGAATTCATGATATCTTTAATATCTGCTACTAAATCACTATTGGTGCAACTTTGGAATGAATTAACACCTTGTATGAAGCCGGTGAAAAGTGCCAACGAGTTTTTATCAGCTTAACAGACAAAGTGGGCTTCATTTTTATTCAACTGCTGTTATCTATTCTGTCTATCAAACTCTTGCTTGATACTGTACAATCAAGGGTATCAGTCTGGATTGTTAAAGGGGGAGTGTCGTCGTTGTTGAGTTTTCTTGATTTGTTTGATAAGGAGAAATTTACAATATGTATCAGTCTATGCATTATTAAGGGGGCAGGTGATATGTGTTTAGTTTTTTCTCTGATTTGTTTGACGAGGAGGTAAATACTTATTAGGGAGTACAAGGTAAATTCCCTACTTTTCACATTCCGCGGATTTCATACGTTATTGTATTGGAAATCGTTTAAAACCTTTTTCGGTAATTTTCTCTCGAAAGGAGAAAACTAAAGAAAAAACTATGAGAGACGTGCTTTCCTCAAATTTTGCAATGATAAATGAGGTGGTAATTTCTGAAAGAATAACTCTTCCATCTCTCAAATTTACACCGGACTGAAATTGTCAGTAGGGGGCTTCCCGTAAATTACATTCTGTGATAAAAGAATTACATTCTGCGATAAGAATCGTCAAAGCAGGTTTTATCTGAATTAGAATCAAAATTCAAGGATCTCAAAAAGCAAGAGCCCACCCTAACATCAAATCTTAAAATTATGGCTCATAATTTACTCAGCAGCTTCCTGAGTGGTACCGTACTTCTCTCAACCAAGCTTGTTTAGGTCTTTCTCCTTCTCGCTGCCCCCCCATCCCGATATGCTTGGGAATGAGTTTGTATTCTACTAGAGAACGGAAAGAGAAATGTCGAAAGTGAGGTATTCAAACAATTGTCACTTTTCCCTTAGCTGCTAAATTTGCAGCTTCACTTTGGCGAGCTCTTCATGATTACTATCTCAAAACATACCGTTTCCACATCGAGGTCAAAATTGAAGAGGATTGCTTTAGACGTTTTTTGTTTTTTCTTTCATTACTAGTACTTTCAATTACAAGGATTATAAGGATAAGAAAGGACTTATCTTTCAAAAATCATTTCGTTCAAGTTCAAGAACACGAATTTCGCCGACGTTTATGTCATACGTAGAAACCCCAAGCTTACTCAAACACCATCTTACATTTCTCTTCGGTACGTCCTAGCTTTTCGAACGTCAAATGATGACCTAACCATTGCTTTCTGTTTGCAATTCAGGCACGTGCAGTCTTCAATGCCACCAAATTACGTACCTTCATGTAATCAAACGAATATTTGATTGCGGAATCTGTCGAGAGATCTAACTTACCACACGTATTTTTATGATATTTGTTTAGAGGAAAATCGCCGCAAACATTGGCTATTGACCAAACGCATACCTATCTATTGAGACGGTTACCCTAAGCATTAAGATTGAGATAGAGCCCCTATGAGAGAAACGCTATTTTGCAGCAGTACTTGATTACGCGCGTTGTCTGACTTTCAGAAAAAAAAATTGTTTTAAATTCAATTTCGGTTCACTGGACAAGACCCTTAACCTTTTATAACTCAACATCACTATGCATATTATCCATACTATTCTCAAACCTTTCAAATATGCTGACAACAAAAGTTTGTGTAATAATCGAGAGCTTTTTAGTTAGTGATCATTTCCTTCATTCTCGCGACTTTATTACGTGATTCTGGGGTTGATATTGTAAGGAGAAATTAGACGCTCGTCACTCTTATGGGTTCAAGGGTTAATTACTTGAAAATTCCTAAAACTCATTTAGAAGATACATGCAGAGAAAAAGCAACGGTTTTCAGAAGCAATTCTATCCAGAAATAGTTTCTAGTCCCAAACCGGGGCATGTAAAAATGGTTTGATTGTTGGTTGGACAAAGATTGAGTCATACTTAGGATTTGTATATAGAGCTAGACACACGGGAATCCGGGATGTGCAGATCCAAATATAATTGCCATTTATCGAGTTGCGATGAAAGCCTGATTTCTTAGTATCAATTTCGGCGAAGAACGAACATGCTGAGGCGATCATGAGATTTCGGCGAAATGATAAGTTTTACCAAGTGAACAGTAATACCAAGAACAAAGGCTTTGATTTACAAAAGGCAATGAATTGTCGGTAAAATTCATAAAACTCTCGCTCAGATCGCCTCGGTCAGTTGTCTCTTCTTCCTCACTTCTTACCCGACTGATCGACCTTTTTTCACATCAGGAAAGACGATGGCAAACAACACATTTTATGGATATGGCCTAAATACCGCCGCTGACGGAATATGCAATTGCCAGGTTCACTTTGTGCTCAAGTTTTTACCTAGATCATATCAGCGTAGACAATGATTTACTTCAACACTCAAACATAAAAATGATCCCTAAAAAAAAAACAATCGAAATGAGCCATTTCGCCTCGAAAGTCTTATACCACTTTTAATTTCACAGGTGTATATTCGAACACATCCAAACAATTAAGACATCAACGTAAAAACGGATGCGGCCATTTTGATCAGACCGATGGTTGGAGAGTGTGCGCTGTGTAATATTGCGCTCGCACCGGGAAAATGATTTGCAGGGACAAAATGAAAATCTAAATACTGTGCGAAAAAGAAAAACTTTTTAAGCTTAGGTTTTTCGTTTTTTGTTCTGAATTCTTTTCACGTATACTTTATGAGATGTGCTCTTACTAATACGCCTGATGCAAAGCATTTTCTTCCAAAGGACTTTGAAATCTTCAAACAGACCAAGGGGTATATCATCAGAGTCCTGCTTCGTCAACAGGGAAGTATGAAAAAAATATTGGGTGTCGGTAAAAACACAGATGACACAACATGAACAACAATATTTTGTGCGGCTGATCATTTCAGAAGAATATTGTTTTGTCTCTTGTTCGGTGCGTTACGCCGATGTAAACAGGAAGGAACATAATATCATGATTTTATTGCTAACTTCTTCATGTTTCAACCAGAGATATGAGACATTAGCAAGTTATGAAAATTTCATTGAGAGAACAAGATAAAAGCACAAAAAATAATTTATTTCGTGCTCTCTGAGCTTAAATTTTTATATACACAAGTATTTGCAAGAATAAATGTCACAATTAATTGCTTTTAGTAACATAACAGTTATCGTTAAACTTAACTGGATAATGGTTCTTAAGTCTGATGAAAGTATTGCGAGAACAAAAGGAATAAAATTGGTTAATAGTGAACTACCATTAAATGTAGCTAAAATAACTAACAAAAGTACGATCGATGTAGGCTAGGATGTATTTTTGAACACAAAAAGCTTTAAATTACTTACCGATGGCCGAGTTATGCTCTTTACCAACTACAAAAAAATGTTGTCCAGTTTGAGGGCTGACAAAGCTTCTCTAAACTGACAGTGATTTGAAGTTCACTGAACGAAAGTTTACGGCTTATATGAGCAGCAATGACGTGTGTTAGTACACGTGTCATCTGCAACACGCGCCTATAGGCAGTTCCGCGGCAAACGGAATTCAGTCAGTTCCCACACAAATTCAAAAGGTAGCCTGGCGCCTCGCTCTCGAAGAATATTCGAAGTGCCCGACTCGATTGTCTGTTTTCTTTTTTAATTATTATAATTGCAGTTCAATGCAATCACAGGGGACAAGATCAAACTTAACCTAAACAAATTGTGTCTACTTCTTCTAACTCTCCCAGGAGAGTTTTGCCCTGCAAAGTGTTGGCGATTGGTGCGGAAAAGCACTGGTCCGCCTCATTTCTCACGCCAGCTTTGATCACGCTTGAGCAACATTTCCTTGTAGGAAACCGATGGTTTCAAAAGGTTTAGGTCAAAGGTTTTGGTTTTTTTCTTTTTTTTTTTTCTTTTCGCGATTTCTAGATAGTAAATTCCAAACTAAAAAGTTAAAAGGTGTACAACGTTGTTTTAACATTTACAGCCATAGACTAAACGGGCAAGAATGGCTTTAGCATTGTTAAAGAAGTCTATTCAGATTAAGATTTCATATAACGTGATTATACCAAAAGCTACTAAAAACTTAGCAATGAGTTCAATATTGATTTTTCGACGTGATTTTTCGATTCATTAAACTTCTGATGTTAGGCCTTATGCATGCTCTCGTCGGATTACCAAATTTAACCCAAAAGCCTCGCTTTTGAGGTTCTAGTAACACTTACTTGGAAAGTTTTCCCAAAACACCTGTATCAAAACAATACCTTCATAAAGAAAGCAAAAAAAAGGGGAAAATCCCTTGTACTTGAATTTATATGTAAGGTGTTTCTTTCTGTATGTTTTTGTATTTCTTCTTTTCTTTTTTCTTATGTAATTTAATAACGCCTTTAGTTAAAGTCTTGTCCTGCCTAGATTAGCATTGTAGCTATTAGCAGGACATGAAGTTTTGTAAACCTTATATTTCTTTAAATAAAGAGTGTAATAAAGAGTGAAAAGATTCATGAAAATTCTAGTGCAAACGAGCCTTGAGTTGATCTTGCCGTGAAGGACGTCAGAAGTTAAGATTGGTATTTCACTGCGGCAAGATGCTAAACAAATACCTCATTTACCATATCACTAATACAGTTCACGCTCTGCAGCTATGGTCAAGATGGTCAAGCACTAGGAATGAAACGAAAAACATAAATATTGAA